GGATCAATGTCAAGGTCACAGTCAGCATCCAGGTCATCGTGCTGACAGTATCGTTGTTGCCTTCCTTCTGTGCTGCGCACTGAATGAGGCAATCATAGCCTGGTGGCGAGATAAGTAACACGTCCAAGAACATATCAAGAAGGGCGTACCTTGACAACCAAATTCCAAACATGCGCAAAGCACCGTATTCAAGTGCTAACACCATTAGCACTGCCAAGCAATTTGAGCTCAGCTGCCATGATATTGTTATTGGTGGTGTTGTCTGCTGTGATGCCCAGGATCTAGGCAGTGGCAATGAGTTAATAAAACAGAGTACAAATAATTATAGTGTACCTTCTTTTCGATACCAAACTCTTTAAGGCAACCCATAAGCTGCTCCACCAAATATATACCAGTATGTCCTTGTGTAAGCCTGCAGAGCGCGTGTAGTGGGTGAGTGTCAGAACAACAATGAAGAGTAAACAAGACTTACTTAATGAAATCAAGGATAAAAACCTCAATTTTCCCCTTTGCTACAAGTTAGACAGTCACTCCTAAGAAAGATATCACGTTGGGCGCCGTCCAACCGTCCACGCAAAGATGAAGCTGGCCAAGATGCATCTAACCAACGGCATGCTATACGCACCGGCAGATAAATAGGTTGATTGCAGTAACATACCTGCAGATGATCGGCGAGATGCTTTTGTGCGATACCAAAGATCTCTTGAACATCTTGGGACACCGTCATCGGATGGAGAACCTCGGCCTTTGCATACAGCATGTGCACAATCTCAAGGAACTCGCTATCGGCAACAATAGCGAACGGTCGGTTGCGACAGGAGACTCACATGGCGAGGAGATAGCAAAGCCATGCCTTTGAGTATATCGAGCTGTGGGCAAAGTCCGTAATGCGTTCGCCTTCAGGTGCAACCTTTGCATTGCATTCCTTAGCATGACAAAAGAGGTTACTTGTAGAGTTGTCCCACCAAACACGTGTGATGGTGGTTGATCTGGAGTTTGATGATGATACGGTAAAAGTAAATAGTGGGACGTGTTACTTATGGATTGTGCTTGCATGCAAATACACATTTAATGACCCCACCAGCATACTTCTCAATTATTGGCTTTTTGAAGTGTTCGTATTCATCTGGAGACCATGTCTCCATTTGCTTTTCTACAGCAAAGGTCAGTTGTTACCACAGGCATTATCTATGCTTATTACTCACCTAAAACTTCCTCGGGCATCTCACCTAAAACTTCCTCAGGCATCTTTTTGTCTACCTTTCATTGCTTCTCAAAGGCAGCATGTTTAATATTGTTGGTAGCCTTGACAGTAGCAGTGGTGATGACTTCTATCTCAGGTGAAGAAGCCTTCAAAAATGTGTTGTTCTGTGCAGAGGTGACTGTGTCTTCATTATCGGAGATGGCTCGTCATACACGCTTTCTCCTTGCAGGCATAGTGAGGCTGAAATGGTGAAGGTGGGGTTGGGCTAAGAGGGCTGGAAATGTTTATTTGAGGCTTACCTGGCAGAGATTATGCGAAGCCTGTGTGCACAAATGGAGATAGGAAAACAATGAGTAATTTCCTCAAAATCATGCGATATACACGACTCACCTGGAATGAGCTCTGACTCAGCCGTCGCCAGCCTGGTATTGAGGTTTCATTTTGCTTCCACTGAGAACCGTAAAGTACACTGATAGATAAGTTGAGGATGATGATCGGCTATTTGGCTAAGCAAAGAGGAAATGTCCTACAAGACATTAAGTTAGCTACTATTCCAGAGCATGTAAAGTTAAATGAACCAGTAAGGAATGGAGACTTTGAGCATGGAGCAGAATAAGTGAGAGGAGTGAACAATGAGGGACGGTGCAGCAAGCGCACATTTGCAGACTTTAAGTGCGGAGTTTAAACTCCGTGTAACAGCAAATAAACTGTAAGCAACACCAGCTTGCTTGCTCAATATGCTCACTGGCAGGTCAACATCCTTGTGTTTCACTGAATGCATCAATATCTCTGACGAGATTTATTGGCCAACAGCTTGGAATGCTGTGCCAGCATGCATGGAGGCTCCAGAAGCAGCCAGAAAAGATTGATATAACACGTTGTACTTGACAGAAGTATGTGCACTCACCCCTTCACATTTTTACCATAGCTGGCTACATCCTTGTAGACATCCGTCGGCAAGTAGCCAAACCTACCACCCGAGTATACAAAGACTGGTATGTGCAACCCAATGGCCAGGCCACGGTCAGAAAGACGCTGGAGCTTGTTGTGCCACTCAATGAGGTCTCTTTGGTGTGTAAAGCATTGAATTTGATACTTAGCATGTTATTAATGGTCTATCTAGGTTGTACTCAATGATAAGATTTTCGTGCCCTTTGCTTCCTTTGTATCTTCGCACCAGGCATTGCCCCATGATGGAAGAACATTCTCCTCTATCTTAGCCATCCTGACTGTGCGCAAGCGGTCTCTGACACCCTTTGGCCTCAGCTACAAGTTCTC